TACTGAACATAGTTCTCGTGCTATACGGTAGGACCTTGCTGTCTCTGCACGCTCTATATGATAGTTTGTATCTGCTGACCCCAAACTCCCAATCCACCCGTCCCTCCCCCAAACCCTTCTCCTTGGCAGCCACAAGTCTGTTCTCTACAAAGATCAGTGTTATTTTATGAAACTTTAGTTATATAGGCATATATAGAGTTGCATATGGGTGTATATCTCTGTGGTATTGCAATGTAAGTTGTATTTCTAGAATCAAATCAAATTTCAGGAAACACTGTTTGGGGATCACTTCAGAAGGCGAAATGCTAGGAGTTGAAAGAGAAGACCTCAAAGGGGAGGCCGACTCTTAGGTAGAATAGAACACTGCCCTCTGGTGGACGGAAAAAGGCAGCAACAGACCTCGTGTAGCAGCAGGACCAGGGTAACAAATTGTTGTTGTTCTTGTTTAGTCGCTAAGTCACGTCCAACTCTTTTTCGATGCTCTGGACCATACAACCCACCAGACTCTATCCATGGGATCTTCCCAGGCAAGAATATTGGAGTGGGCTGCCACTTCCTCTCCAGGGGACCTTCCCGACCCAGGGCTACAAGAAACCATTTAATTTTTGTCCTCCATTGTTAACAATGGTTATGGTTTTTCCAGTAGTCATGTACAGATGTGAGAGTTGGACCATAAAGAAAGCTGAGCACCAAAGAACTGATGCTGTTGAACTGTGGAGCTGGAGAAGACTCTTGAGAGTCCCTTGGGCAACAGAGAGATCAAATCAGTCAATCCTAAAGGAAATCAACCCTGAATACTCACTGAAAGGACTGATGCTGAAGCTGAAGCTCCAATACTCCGGTCACTTGATTTGAAGAACCAACTCATTGGAAAGGAGACCCTGACACTGAGAAAGATTGAGGGCAGGAGGAGAAGGGGGTGACAGAGGATAAGATGGTTGGATAGCATCACCGACTCAATGGGCATGAGTTTGAGCAAACGCAGGGAGACAGTGAAGGACAGGGAAGCCTGGCGTGCTACAGTGCATGAGGTTGCAAAGAGTCAGACACAACTTAGAGACTGAACAACAATCGCTGGTAAAATTTCTTGTACATCTTTAGGCATTTTTTTAAAATCCTTTTTTCATAGCAGCATAACAGTCCATGAAACTTTTGAGTGTTGCCTTGAAGCCATATCTGGAAACAACCATGAGAGCAAGGGTCCTAGATCACACTTGGCTTGAAATCCAACTAGAGAGTTAAAGTACTGTGACTGTGGGACTTCCCTGGGGGTCCAGTGGTAAAGACTCTGCACTTCCACCACAGGGGCATGGATTTGATCCCTGGTTGGGGAACTAAGATCCCGTTTGCTGCAGGTATGGCAAAAAAAAAAAAAGCATTGTGATTAAAAGTTAAACAATTCAGAGACTGCTAAGGGACAGCTGGAAAGCTTTACTAACCAAAAAATAAACAAAAAACTAATTTAAGAATCACTTTTTCAAATGCCAGAGTGTCAATATCCTTTATTCTTCCAGTAACCAATGCTTTAATCGCCATTCAAAAATCAGAAATTAACAAAAATATAAAAATTATTTCTTATACCTTGTGGCCCAATGGATGCTTTTGAAAACATCTCACAGCATGTATATCTAACTAAATATCAAATAAGGGTTTCCCACAAGTTCTAGGAGTTCAAAGGCAGCTCAGAGGTTGGGGAAATTCTTCAGACCAATAGAAAGGGAGGGAGCGACTTCGGGTAGAACTGGGAAGAGGAAAGGGCTGTCTAAAGTCTGCTTCTTGGGGATTTCCTAGCTGTCCAGGGATTAGGAATCTGCACTGTCACGGCTGAGGATGCAGATTCAATCTCTGGTCAAGGAACTAAGATCCCACAAATCTCCTTGTCTAAGAGAAGCAGTTCAGAAAAGTAGGAAATGAGCTTAGAGAGAAGTGATCCGATAGAAGGTGAAATCCGGCTTAATCCCACAGAACAGAGCACCACCACTGTCTCTGCATTCAAACAACCTCAAAATACAGCTCAAACACCAACTTAATAACTACTTATAAAAATTACAAACACCTACTATGTGCTGAGTAATAACAGGGGAACCGCACGGATGCAGCCGCAGCCCATGTGAAGCTTCTGTCTAGTAAGGAAGAAACCCAAGATTCAGCACAGTGAGTCCTAGATGATTAAATGAGGATAAGACCACCGGGGTGTACACCTTAAACATATACAGTCATCCAATTATATCGAGTACAGCTGGGGGACAGGACAAGAGCAGAAGATGGCAACAAAAATAAACGGCTCGTAACCCAGGCCTGGGGGACAAAGACGAATTTCCCAGAGGAAGGAACACCTCAAATTGTGATTCTCAACCTTGGCTGCACATCAGAATCACCTGCCCAAGCTTTTAAATACAGCAAAGTCAAGCCTCATCACCCAGACATACAGATGTTAATTGATCTTGGGTGGAGCCCATGCCTTGGTATTTCTTAAAACTGCCCAGATGATGTAATGTACAGTCAGCGTTGAGAATGCCTGGTTTAAGCTGAGCCCCAGGATGAAGAAGAATTAGCCAGGGAGAGGTGAAGGCAGGCAGCAGAAACTGGGAGCCCTGACGGAGAGGGTGCGGCACTCGGGCAGGGAGTGGTGGAACGACCCAGATAAAGCACAGTGACAGCCGAAACCGGGGAGACGGGAGCGGCCAGACGGAATGGGCTCTGACGTCCACATCCAAGGGCCTGGACTTTATGCCAAGAGCTACAGAGAGCTACTCAAACAGACGACTGTTAGGATCAGGCGTGTGTTTCCAAATATTTGGCACTCTGCTCTTCTCCTGAAATGGCAATCAAGGAAGCAGAGTTGTGGACCCTGGTGGCGGTAGCGAGGGGTCAGGTGGGCAGGAAGTGGACCCCACAGAACTCATGGGTTGCTTAGATGCAGGATGAACACAGGGCCTCAGCCAGAGGCTCCCACTGGCCCTGGGCAGAAAAAAAATGAGCTTTTTCTTTAAAAAAGAGAGAGGGACTTCCCTGGTGGTCCAGTGGTTAAAACTCCACACTGCCAATGCAGGGTCCAATCCCTGGTCAGGGAACTAAGGTCCCACATGCCGTGCAAAGCAGCCAAGAGATTAAAAAATATTTTTAAAAAATTATTTTTAAAAGAGAGAAACTTAAATTAGGGTATCCTCTGGAAAAAGAAGACTGCAAGGATATTAACACCTATGAGTTCATAATGATACACACAGGGGAAAAAAGCATTCACCAGTCACCTTTGGAGACTGCCAGAGTACCAACTCATTACTCCAAAAATGACAAGCAAAGGGAAAAAAACAAGGTTATTTCCCTTTTCACAGAAAAAATATATTTCAGGGTAACCGAGAAGTTGACAAAGGAGAATTCTTCACAGAATTCGAGCTAATAAATGGCAACAGAATAACATAATCTGAAAAACATCCTTTCCTAACCTTTAGCGAAATAATAGACTTAAGCTGTAATCATCAGTTCAGTTCAGTCGCTCATTCATGTCTGACTCTTTGCGACCCCATGAATCGCAGCACGCCAGGCCTCCCTGTCCAACACCAACTCCCGGAGTTTACTCAAACTCATCTCCACTGAGTCGGTGATGCCATCCAGCCATCTCATCCTCTGTTGTCCCCTTCTCCTCCTGCCTTCTATCTTTCCCAGAATCAGGGTCTTTTCCAATGAATCAGCTCTTCGCATCAGGTGGCCAAAGTTTTGGAGTTTCAGCTTCAACATCAGTCCTTCCAATGAACACTCAGGACTTATCTCCTTTAGGACAGACTGGTTTGATTTCCTTGCAGTCCAAGGGACTCTCAAGAGTCTTCTCCAACACTACAGTTCAAAAGCATCAATTCTTCAGCACTCAGCTTTCTTTATAGTCAAGCTCTGATATCCATACATGACCACTGGAAAAACCATAGCCTTGACTAGATGGACCTTTGTTGGTAATCATCAATGTATGCTAAAACCATCAGCAAGGTTGAAGGAATCTTATAAAGGAGGGATCAGGCAGATGTGATCCTTCTGTTCATGTTGACCTCATAAAAGTGGAACAAGCAGACGTGACTGTCATGCTGTGATTCAAGAAGATGTACATAGCCCCACCTCGAAGCAGTGCTCACTGTTGAACTTTAATCTCAACTGAACCTGAATCTAACTCTAACACAAGGAAGTAATAAGCCAAATCTAACATGTGGGACATTTTAAAGTCCAGTGATAGAGCTACTCTGAAAAGTTGATGGTATTAAAACAAAACAAAATATTTTTGAAAATAGCAATCCTTGGGAAGGAACACTGGGGAATTTTCTGGGGCAATGGTAACATCCTAGAGCTGAATCAGGGTTTGAGATTACCAGGTGTATGCGTTTATCAAAACTCATCAAGCCGTGGGCTTCCCTGGTGGTCTAGTGGTTAAGAATCCTGTAGCCAACGCAGGGGATGCGGATTCAACCCCTGCTCCGAGAAGATCCCACATGCCTCATGGCAACTAAGCCAGTGCATCACAACTGCTGAAGCCTGTGCGCCCTAGAGCCTGTGCTTCCACAAGAAAAGCCACCACACTGAGCAGCCCATGCACCGCAACCAGAGACAGCCTGCACACAGCAAAGAAGACCCAGCACAGCCAAAAATAAAGAAATCCTAAAAAAAAAACCCAAACACTGTTACATTAAAAAATCTCTCGTGTGTTTCACTGTATGTAAAGTCTGTAGTTAAAAGTCACTCAGTCATGTCTGACTCTTTGTAATCCCATGAACTGTAGCCCGCCAGGTTCCTCTGTCTGTGGGATTCTCCAGGCAAGAATAATGGAGTGGATAGCCATTCCCTTCTCCAGGGGATCTTTCTGACCTATGGATAGAACCCAGGTCTCCTGCATTGCAGGCAGATTCTTTACCATCTGAGCCACCAGGGAAGGTCCATGTAAAGTTTACCTTAAAGAAAAAAGGACTCTAAACAAATATTGACCTCTAGGTAATGACTTATATGCTGATATATTTCAGAGGAAGTACACTGATGTCTGCAACTGACTCCCAAAAGCATCCCCAAAATAAGACAGAGGTGATGGATGCAGTGATAGACTGACAGTAACATGTTAATGGGAGAATCTGAATGGTGAGTATATGGAATGTTTTCAACTCTCTGTATGTATGAAAACTTTTCCAAGTGAAATGTTGATACAAATTAAAAAGTTGGGGTAGGAAGAATTGGAGAAATGTGGTCAAAAGGCACAAATTTCCATTTACAAGGTAAATAAGTACCAGAGATGTCATGTACAACATGATGACTCCAGCTAAGAATGCTGCAGGATATATAGGAACGCTGTTAAGAGAGTAAATTCTAACAGTTCTTGTCATAAGAAAAAGTTTTCTTTCTTCTTTCTTTCCTTTTTATTGTATCAGTATGAGAAGAGGGATATTACTACCTACTGTGGTAATCATTTCACAATATGTAAGTCAGTCTGTTGTTTACCTTAAACTTATCCAGGGATGTATGCCAATTATTTCTCAACAAAACTGGGAAGAAATTAAGCTTAAAATGTGAACTGAGGGGACCTCCCTGGCAGTCCAGTGGTTAAGACTCTGTGCTCCCAATGCATGGGTTGTGAGTTCAATCTCTGGTCAGGGAACTAGACCCCACAGGCCGCAACTAAAGATCCCAAGTACCGCAACTAAGAGTTGGCATAGTCAAATAAATAAATATTTTTAATCTAAAAAACACATTCTATGTCAGCTCCTGTGGATAGTCCCTTGGGAACTCATCATACTGTATGCTGATAGGGTCTCATCTCAAACTCATCCCTCAAGTCTTTGTGATTTCCCACCCCAAAGTCACTATAGACAGTGACTGCAGCCATGAAATTAAAAGACGCCTGCTCCTTGGAAGAAAAGCTATGACAAACTTAGCGTATTAAAAAGCAGAGACATCACCTTGCCGACAAAAGTCTGTCTAGTCAAAACTATGGTTTTTCCANATGTGAGAGTTGGACCATAAAGAAGGCTAAGCACTGAAGAATTGATGCTTTCCAAGTGTGGTGTTAGAGATGGCTCTTGAGAATCCCTTGGACTGCAAGGAGATCAAATCAGTCAATCCTTGGGGAAATCAACCCAGAATATTCACTGGAAGGACTGATGCTGAAGCTGAAGCTCCAATACTTTGGCCACCTGATGCAAAGAGCTGACTCTTTGGGAAAGATCCTGATGCTGGGAAAGATTGAAGGCAGGAGGAGAAGGGAGAGACAAGAGGACAAGATTGCTGAATGGCATCATTGACTCAATGGAGCAAACTATCTCCATTTGAGCAAACTCCAGGAGATAGTGAAGGACAGGGAAGCCTGGCGTGCTGCAGTCCATGGGGTCACAAAGAGTCGGACACAACTGAGTGACTGAACAACAATCCCCACACCATGGGCACCTAACTCATCCAGGAGCCCAGGAGTGAGGTGGAGTCCACACCCCTGGGGGCAGCCCTAGTGGAAGGGGGATAATTACACTGTCTTCAGGCAGACAATTCAGGAGACATTCTGTGGACTTCCCAGGAGTCTTTGGCAGAATCAGTCCTGTTGCCCAGAGTGAGAATTATGATACACATCCTCATGTAGGCTTTTGCCTCTTTCCACCTGTCCAACTTGGACAGCTTCTCAGATCATATGCACTCAAGCCCTTGTTTCATGTTTTACTTTGAAAAGTGTAACTGTTAGTTGCTCTGACTGTTAGTCATGTCTGACTCTTTGTGACCCCATGGACTGTACCCCGTGTTAGGTCCTACAGAAATGTTAGGTCCATGAAAAGTAGGAAGTAAAGAGATAACCTGGAGTAAAAGGCAAATTTGGCCTTGCAGTACATAATGAAGCAGGGCAAAGGCTAACAGAGTTTCGCCAAGAGAACTCACTGGTCATAACAAACACCCTCTTCCAACAACACAAGAGAAGACTCTACACATGGACATCACCAGGTGGTCAATATTGAAATTGATTGACTACATTCTTTGCAGCCAAAGATGGAGAAGCTCTATACAGTCAGCCAAACAAGACCAGGAGCTGACTGTGGCTCAGATCATGAACTCCTTATTGCCAAATCCAGACTTAAATTGAAGGAAGTAGGGAAAACCACTAGACCAAATCCCTTACGATTATACAGTGGAAGTGACAAATAGATTCAAGGGACTAGATCTGATAGACAGAGTGCCTAAAGAACTATGGATGGCGGTACGTGACATTGTACAGGAGGCAGTGATCAAGACCATCCCCAAGAAAAAGAAATGCAAAAAGGCAAAATAGTTGTCTGAGGAGGCCTTACAAACAGGTGAGAAAAGAAGAGAAGTGAAAGGCAAAGGAGAAAAGGAAAGATATACCCATTTGAATGCAGAGTTCCAAAGAATAGCAAGGAGAGATAAGAAAGCCTTCCTCAGTGATCAATGCAAAGAAATAGAGGAAAACAATAGAATGGGAAAGACTAGAGATCTCTTCAAGAAAATTAGAGATACCAAGGGAACATTTCATGCAAAGATGGGCTCAATAAAGGACAGAAATGGTATGGACCTAACAGAAGCAGAAGATATTAAGAAGAGGTGGCAAGAATACACAGAAGAACTGTACAAAAAAGATCTTCATGACCCAGATAATCACGATGGTGTGATCACTCACCTAGAGCCAGACATCCTGGAATGTGAAGTCAAGTGGGCCTTAGGAAGCATCACTATGAACAAAGCTAGTGGAGGTGATGGAATTCCAGTTGAGCTATTTCAAATCCTGAAAGATGATGCTGTGAAAGTGCTGCACTCAATATGCCAGCAAATTTGGAAAACTCAGCAGTGGCCACAGGACTGGAAATGGTCAGTTTTCATTCTAATTACAAAGAAAGGCAATGCCAAAGAATGCGCAAACTACTGCACAATTGTGCTCATCTCACATGCTAGAAAAATAATGCTCAAAATTCTCCAAGCCAGGCTTTGACAGTATGTGAACTGTGAACTTGCAGATGTTTAAGCTGGATTTAGAAAAGGCAGAGGAACCAGAGATCAAATTACCAACATCTCCTGGATCATTGAAAAACCAAGAGAGTTCCAGAAAAACAATTACTTCTGCTTTATTGACTATGCCAAAGCCTTTGACTATGTGGATCACAAAAATTGTGGAAAATTCTTAAAGAGATGGGAATACCAGACCACCATACCTGCCTCATGAGAAATTCATGGACCTAACATTCCAAGTTCATCGACCTAACATTCCAGTTCCTATGCAATATTGTTCTTTACAGCATCAGACTTTACTTCCATCACCAGTCACATCTACAACTGGGCACTGTTTTCTCTTTGGCTCCGTCTCTTCATTTTTTCTCTACTCTTCTCCAGTAGCATATTGAGTACCTGCAGACCTGGGGAGTTCATCTTTCAGTGTTATACCTTTTTGCCTGTTCATGCTGTTCATGGGGTTCTCAAGGCAAGAATACTGAAGTGGTTTGCCATTCCCTTCTCCAGCAGACAATGTTTTGTCAGAACTATCCACCATGACCCGTCCATCTTCGGTGGCCCTACACAGCATGACTCATAGTTTCCTTGAGTTAGACAAAGCTGTGGTCCGTGTGATCAGTTTGATTAGTGTTCTGTGATTGTGGTTTTTATTCTGTCTGCCCTCTGAAAAGGATAAGAGGCTTATGGAAGCTTCCTAATGGAAGAGACTGACTGTGGGGGAAACTGGGTCTTGTTCTGATGGGCGGGGCCATGCTCAATAAATCTTTAATACAATTTTCTGTGACAGACTTTATATTTTTGGGATCCAAAATCATTGCAGATGGTGACTGCAGCCTTGAAATTGAAAGACCCTTGCTCCTTAGAAGAAAAACTATGACCAACCTAGACAGCATATTAAAAAGCAGAGACTACTTTGCTGAAAAAGGTCCATCTAGTCAAAGCTATGGTTTTTCAGTAGTCATGTATGGATGTGAGAGTTGGACTATAAAGAAAGCTGAGTGCTGAAGAATTGATGCTTTTGAACTGTGGTGCTGGAGAAGACTCTTGAGAGTCCCTTGGACTGCAAGGAAATCAAACCAGTCCATCCTAAAGGAAATGAGTCCTGAATATTCATTGGAAGGACTGATGCTCAAGCTGAAACTCCAAAACTTTGGCCACATGATGCAAAGAACTGACTCACTGGAAAAGACCCTGATGCTGGGAAAGATTGAGGGCAGGAGGAGAAGGGGACAACAGAGGATTAGATGGTTCGATGGCATCACCAACTCTATGGACATGAGTTTGCGTAAGCTCCAGGAGTTGGTGATGGACAGGGAAGCCTGGCATGGTGCAGTCCATGGGGTCGCAAAGAGTTGGACATGACTGAGTGACTGAACTGAACTGAACTGGACTGTAGCCCACTAGGCTCCTCTGTCCATGGGATTCTCCAGGCAAGAATATTGGAGTGAGTTGTCATTCCCTTCTCTGTAGAACCTTCTCAACCCAGGGATCAAACCTGGGTCTCCTGCATTGCAGGCAGACCCTTTACTGTCTGAGACACCAAAGAAGCCTGTTTTACTTCTAGAGGAACCCAAATTAAGACAGTTTGTTCCACAAGTGGCCTAAACAGCAGATCCTCATGATGTTGAGTCTGTACCTGGATTTCTCATTTCCTGTACATCAAGACAGCAGTGAGAAGTAGTGCTCAGTGGGGGGCGACAGCCTCTGGTTTGCAAACACAGGCACTGAGGCCCCACCGGTACAGGCCTGGGAGGAGACACAGGCAGACAGGAGCTGGCATCTGCCCTAGCTCTCCCTGTGGGACGGGGCTGAAGGACGGGGTGCTGGTACCTGTAAGGACTCTGAGCCTGGCTGGCTTTTATTAACAGATTGGCAGCTTTGAAGAAAGACTGGCTGACAGGCTCATATCATGCATCCACGCAGGGCATTCTGTGAATGCTAGAGGCTTCCGTGGCAATGTTGAAAGAGACCTATATCTCCTGCCAGACAGATAAGGCCAGGACCTAATGAGGGTGGAAGGGAACACTGGGAGCGGATCTCGAGGGGACAGAACACAAGGAGCGGCGAGGGGGGTGCATGGACATGGCTCATTCTCCCAAGATTCGTGAGCTTTCATCTTGGTAAAAGCATTCAATCCAGGCCCTGTGCGGCTGGAACCCGGACTTGATGTTGACCTATGGGAAATGAAGTGAGGTGCCAGGACTGCAAGGTGTGAGACAGCTCTAAGAGATGAGAAGGTAAAGCCGGTGACCAGACACCCCACCATCTGCCTACACTCCCTAAGCCTGGCCAGATAACGCGCACTTCCATCAGGAACGCGGAAGCGAGGAGGGCCCTGGAGACCTCACGCACCCTGAGGGCTGCACTCTGTGGGCAGGGAATGGCAGAAGACACTGCTTCGTGTCTTTGAGGGTGATGAAATCCTGACATACCCGAAGAGGGGCCACCTAACTCCCAGTGGCCGGTGGACATAATCACCATCACTATGACTGTGGTGAACGGGGCGTGTTGACCTCAGAGATGACCTCAGGCAAGGGCTAGGAAACCATAGCGTTCCGAGAGGGTGAGACAGCTGGGCAGCCAGTGGGGCTCCAGCTTGATGTGTCTCATAAGAGACAAAAAAAATCAGTCACTCGTGAACAAACAGCTGAGGTCAGCCACGACCGTGGGAAATCACGCCTCCTTCATCCAGGCCCCAGCTCTGAGGCGGGGTCCAACTGATGGAAGGGAGGGTCCCCTTGCAGAAGGGCCCTGTGATGCCACCCAAGTACACATGATAAAAATTCCTTCCCCAATGGGACTCAGGGCACCTTTGTCCTAAGGGAAGGGCACCCCTAGACCTTGTGAGAACTGTCAGATGCTGTCTGGGCTGACACCGAACCAGGACTCCTGAAATGCTGTCATCCCCACCCTGTTGCTCTTTGGGAGGCCACGGGAAAAGGGCGACGTCCTTTTCACAAGTCAGAGGGCCTGCCCGATGGCAATGTCCCCAGTCAGGAGTGTAAATTGGGATGGTTTCCCCAATGGCTCAGCAGTAAAGAATCCGCCTGCAATGCAGGAGATGCGGGTTTGATCGCTGGACTGGGAAGATCCCCTGGAGAAGGGCATGGCAACCCACTCCAGTATTCTGGCCTGGAGAATCCCGTGGACAGAGGAGCCTGGTGGGCTACAGTCTATAGGGTCACAAAGAGTCAGACACGACTGAGCGTGCACTCAACTTACTTAACAACCTCCAGAACCTTCCACCTGAGTTAGAGCCCACAGATGGGGGAAGGGCCAGATGATTGTCCTGGAGCTACCCACTGCCCACCTCCACCCAAGAGAAATCGGAACAAGCCCACAGTTCCTTCTGAAACTGCAGATTCCTGGTGCCTCTTCCACAGAGACTCGGTGGACACCCTCACCACATCCGCAGTCAGATCCCCTGTGAGCCCTGCCAGAAGCAGGCTGATGCTGGGAGACCAGTTGTTCAACCGAGCACCAGCCCCAGGGGAGGCTGTGGAACACCAACACCGTCTCTGGCATGTGTGACTCGTGTTTTAATCCTTTCAGAACTGTCACTAAAAAGCATCAGAAGGTCTGGGAGTGGGTGTGACAGCAGACACCTTCTTTCTCTTGCTCCAGGGATCTGGTACCCGACCTGCTCTGTCCCCTGAGACCCTGACTGCCAGGACACTCTGAGCTGTCACGGTAGTCAAACAACAGTGTGTGATTTAGACCTGGAGCAGTGGCAAGTCTCTGAAAGAAAGCTTAGAAAAGCAGCAAGTGGGGGGACTTCTCTGGTGGTCCAGTGGCAGAATCCACCTTCCAATGCAGGGGACGTGGATTCAGTCCCCGGCCCCCCGAAGTAGGATGCCGCAGGGCAACAAAGTCCGTGTCACAGCTAGAGAAGATAATGTGCTACAAGGAAGACCCTGAGTGCGCAACTAAGACCCAACTCAGCCAAACGAATAAATCAAAAAATGTTTTTTAAAGGGGGTAATATGGACAGATGCAGAAGCAAGAGATGTTACCTAAGAGACTGCCTTTAACTGGTGTCTGCCACAGCCAAAGTCAACAGGGAACATCCACCTCACGGCTCCAAAGCGACCCCTCTCCAAGCTGAAGGACCTGAAAGGATCCAGCTTACTAGAGCCAGCTTCCTTAACTTCTGGGCTGTGGCACTACGAATGGGAGTAAGACAGTCAAGGAGTGGGGAGAGGAGGAGCGAAAGCTGTCTTCAGAGTTTACTCCCGCAAAATATATATAATGGAAAACCAGCCTTCTGTGCAAATTCCACCCCTTTTTAAATAATTAGCACTGGAACCAAAGACTGAAGAGTCACAGTTTTATTTCACATGTGCTCGGGGGTGGGAGCATCAGTATTTACAATGCATGAAGTCACAGCACTCACAAAAAAGTAATTCCAAGCAAGTCAAAGCCCATGCTTTTCCAAGCCACTCCCACCACCTGCAACCAATAAACACAGTGCATACAATACTGGAGAAAAAGGCCAGAGTACAAGTAACCCCAGACCAAGTACGTATCAGGTAACTCATACTGTCCAGTACAACAGTTTTAATAATGTTTAAGATTATTTCAATGGTAAATAAGCCTTTCTTTTAAAAAATTAAACATAACATCAGTATTTACATCACCAGGTAATGCAAACATGCCTCAAGTTTCTTAATCCTCAGGACTAAAAATGATTATATTTGCATTATTCCTGCACACTCCTCCACCTGAATAAAGAAATAAAAGGAGATCAGTGCTATCACAGTTATGGGTCATGCTGATTATGTGAAGATAGTTAAGTTGCTCACTATAATTCAGTTAAGCACCTCTGCGTGGACCTCCATCCCTAGCCCCTACATACCCTCTCAACTCACCCCAGTGGCCCCACAGCCTGGAGAATCCCTGACATGAGCTGCTTAGCTCCAGGGTGACAGAGACACAACCCTTCCAGGCTGATAGGACCCTAGAGGTGAGCAAAATGGGATTAAGAGAAGGGGAGAAGACAGGGGTGGAGGGGTGTTTACACTCATGGGCTTCCCAGACCCCTCAGTTCACAGAACAAGGGGAAAGAGAAGCAGTACTGCAGTCACCTATAAAACACACTTTCACTGTGCCAGAGCAGGAGCCCTTTCAAACATGAAAGGTCATGGAAGCATCATTACATCAGACAGAATGGAGAGGCAAAACCGCCACAGGGGATGAACAGTGATAACCAATATGGATCTGCAGGAATTTGTGAATGATCTGCTATAGCTTATGTATTTACTCATTTTATTTATTTATGCTTGTCTTATTCCAAACAGATTTTTGTTGAGCATTCCAAATGACCGTGGATGGAAAGAATACATTTCAGTGGAAGAGGAAGGAAAGATGGTAGAATAGAAAAGACATGAGCACAGTTGAGGATCAGTTCCCTATCCTCCAGGACTCACAGACATTTACAGATTTAATTCTACCCGCTCCTCTCAGAGAAGAGGTAAGTGCACATTTCATTAATTTAAAATAAAATTTAAAAATTAAAAATATAAAATAATTTTTAAAAGTTAAAAACAGTTAAGAAAGTTAAGACCTAACTTCCCACAGAGAAAAGAATCAAGTCAATTTGAAATAGTGTTTTAACTAAGGATAAAAATATCTTGAGCTGCATTAAAACAAATAAACCTGCATCCAGTAGATTTCATCCTATTAATATTTCATGACTATTTTGAATTCATAAAATACACAGTAGATATATATGTAATTATACTGGGTTGTTAGGAACCAAAATTTTCAATGTAAAATAGAAGCAAATATAAAATCAAAGAAAGTTAATTAAAAATCCTATAATCATAAAATCTCTATACCTTCCACTCAGTTTTGCTACAAACATAAAACTGCTCTAAAAAATAATATAACTTAAAGTTTTCCTTTTTCTAAAAAAATATTTATTTCCCAGCAATAGCCATAGAAACAGCTTAGAAATGACAATAGCCAGTAGCACTTAGCTCATCTAGTCCCTTTAAGTATAGTCTCTAAATATTTCCCATTAAAAGAAACCAGCGCTCCTTAAGAAATTAGTTAATCCAAGTCTGGGTAGAATATATACAAAATAGGCCTAAAACAATCAATAACTATTATCAACAACAAAATAACATAGAAGCAAATTTGAAAGGGCTCCTACTGGCTGAAGATGGGCTATTTTGAGCATCAAAAGATTTAACATTTCACTGGATTGAAACACATCAGACATGTAAAAACAGCCAAATTCAGAAAACTCCTTCCCACGCAAAAGAAAAGCTCTGTGGTCATCCCTGAAGTTTGCTGGGGTATCAGTTCATTATCCTGAAAACTCAAGAGTGAAGGGGAAGAATCAGCATCGCTCTTGCCTTTGCTACAGACTTTTCCAGAATAACCAAAAAACTGATGAAGAGAATTCTTTGTAGAAAAACCATAGCTAGTAAATACAGAAGAAATGATGTGATTAAAAATCTTCATTTTGGGGGCTGATGGCCTAATTATACCTCTTTTTGGTCACACTGTGTGACTTGTGGGATCTTAGTTCCCCAACCAGGTCTGGGCCCTCAGGAGCAAGAGCTCAGAGTCTTAACCACTGGACTGCCAGGGACTTCCCAGAATTATATTTCTAAGTGCCACAGAAATTCCTTCAAAATACAAAACTGAGGTAAAAGAAGCTTCCGTTGTCTCTTGAATACATTAAAGCCAACTAATTATTCCTAGAAGGTCTACTTGGTATTCTGGCCTACTAAATACATTCTGTATTAAATGTATCAAACTTAAAAAACCACCATTTTACAATCCCTACTAATGACTTCAGGCAACAATCATCAATGACTCCTGAAACCTTAGATGAAAAGATGATGTGGAACTTTCTAGTGGTGGGGCCAAGCTGACAACACCTGATCAACCTCAGCATCCCTGAAAACAGTGGAGTCTTCCTTACCAAAAAGGGCAAAAGTTGAACATGAATCTGTCCAACTTCTAGCTCTAACTTTAATAGATGTCCACCTCTATCAGTTTACAGAAAATATGAAGGACAGTATATGTCAAACACCACCACAAATCCAAAATGCAGGAAAATACCAAGATACAAATCCGGATAACCTGAACAAATAAATGACACAGAATAAGAAGAGAAGATATCTTAAAGACTTAGAGAGACTTATGAAATATATATAATATATGGACCTTGTTTTTAGATCCTGATTCAAACAAAAGAACTATAAAGTGACACAACTCCTCAAGAAATCAAAGGAAAAAACTAAACCTAAAGCTAACAGGAGGGAGGAAATAATACAAATTAATGCAGGGATAAGTGGCTCAGGCAGTAAAGGATCTGCCTGCCAAGCAGAAGACTCAGGTTCGATCCCTGGGTCAAGAAGATCCCCTGGAGAAGGAAATGGCAACCCACTGCAGTATTCTTGCTTGGAGAATTCCATGGACAGGGGAGCCTGGCAGGCTATAGTCCATTAGGGTTGAAAAGAGTCAGACATGACTGAGCAACTAACACTTTCACTTTTCAAGTGAAATAGAGAATAGAAAAAAATCAATGAAAGAAAGAGTTCATCTTTTAAAAAGATCAACAAAATGGACAAATCTTTAGCTAGATTAAGAAAAAACAGGTAAAACTCAAAATTAGAAATGAAAGAAAAATGCTACAACTAATGCTACAGAAATAAAAAGGATTATGAGACTTATGAACAACTGTATGCCTACAAATTGTATAACATACAACCTACCAAGAAACATACAACCTACATAGACTGAATCATGAAGAAATAAAAAATCTAAACAGACCAATAACTAGTAAAAAGACTGAATCAGTATTGAAAATCTCAAAGAAAAACCAAGAAACTGATGCTTTGAAACTCATAGTCACTTAGTCATGTCTGACTCTTTGGGACCCCATCAACTATACAGCCCATGGAATTCTCCAGACCAGAATACTGGAGTGGGTAGCCTTTCCCTTCTCCAGGGGAATCTTCCCAACCCAGGAATCGAACCCAGGTCTCTCGCATTGCAGACAGATTCTTTACCAGCTGAGCCACAAGAGAAACTGAAGTATACTAGAATGGGTAGCCTGTCCCTTCTCCAGGGGATCTTCCTGACCCAGACATTGAACCGGGATCTCCTGCATTGCAGGCAGATTCTTTACCAACTGAGCTAGGGAATTCTACCAAACATTTAAAGAACAGTTAATGCCAATCCTCCTGAAACTATTTGAATAATTAAAGAGGAGGGAACACTTTTAAGTTCATCCTATGAGAACAACATAATCCTGACATCAGTGCCAGACAGGACATAACAGAAGAAGAAAACTACAGGCCAATATCCATATCCTTGGTTAATACTGATGCAAAAATCCTCAACAAGTATCAGCAAACTAAATTCAACAACTCTTTTTCTTTCTCTTTGGCTGCACCACTTGGCTTGTGGGATCTTAGTGGCCTGATAAGGGATTGAACTGGCACCCTCAGAAGTGAAAGCGCCAAGTCCTAATTACTAGACTGCAAGGGGTTTCCCTTAGCAACTCTTTCTATCAGTACATTATGACCAAATGGGACTCAGAACGTAAGAGTGATTCAACATATGAAAATCAATGGGTTGCACCTTATTAACAGGTTGAAGAACAAAAACACGATTGCTTCAGTTGAGGCAGAAATCTATTTGGTAAGATTCTATACCTTTTTATGATAAAACACCTCAACTATGAAGAAAAGAAAAGAGTCAGACATGACTGAGCAACTAACACTTTCACTTTTCAAGTGAAATAGAGAATAGAAAAAAATCAATGAAAGAAAGAGTTCATCTTTTAAAAAGATCAACAAAATGGACAAATCTTTAGCTAGATTAAGAAAAAACAGGTAAAACTCAAAATTAGAAATGAAAGAAAAATGCTACAACTAATGCTACAGAAATAAAAAGGATTATGAGACTTATGAACAACTGTATGCCTACAAATTGTATAACATACAACCTACCAAGAAACATACAACCTACATAGACTGAATCATGAAGAAATAAAAAATCTAAACAGACCAATAACTAGTAAAAAGACTGAATCAGTATTGAAAATCTCAAAGAAAAACCAAGAAACTGATGCTTTGAAACTCATAGTCACTTAGTCATGTCTGACTCTTTGGGACCCCATGAACTATACAGCCCATGGAATTCTCCAGACCAGAATACTGGAGTGGGTAGCCTTTCCCTTCTCCAGGGGAATCTTCCCAACCCAGGAATCGAACCCAGGTCTCTCACATTGCAGACAGATTCTTTACCAGCTGAGCCACAAGAGAAACTGAAGTATACTAGAATGGGTAGCCTGTCCCTTCTCCAGGGGATCTTCCTGACCCAGACATTGAACCGGGATCTCCTGCATTGCAGGCGGATTCTTTACCAACTGAGCTAGGGAATTCTACCAAACATTTAAAGAACAGTTAATGCCAATCCTCCTGAAACTATTTGAATAATTAAAGAGGAGGGAACACTTTTAAGTTCATCCTATGAGAACAACATAATCCTGACATCAGTGCCAGACAGGACATAACAGAAGAAGAAAACTACAGGCCAATATCCATATCCTTGGTTAATACTGATGCAAAAATCCTCAACAAGTATCAGCAAACTAAATTCAACAACTCTTTTTCTTTCTTTTTGGCTGCACCACTTGGCTTGTGGGATCTTAGTGGCCTGATAAGGGATTGAACTGGCACCCTCAGAAGTGAAAGCGCCAAGTCCTAATTACTAGACTGCAAGGGGTTTCCCTTAGCAACTCTTTCTATCAGTACATTATGACCAAATGGGACTCAGAACGTAAGAGTGATTCAACATATGAAAATCAATGGGTTGCACCTTATTAACAGGTTGAAGAACAAAAACACGATTGCTTCAGTTGAGGCAGAAATCTATTTGGTAAGATTCTATACCTTTTTATGATAAAACACCTCAACTATGAAGAAAATAGAAGAAAATTACCTCAACACAATAAAGGCCATATATGAAAATCAACGGCTAACATCATACTCAATATGACAGACTGCAAGTTTTTCTTTCATGATCAGGATGCTCATTCTCACCACTTCTAGGCAAGATACTAATGGAAGTCCTAGCCAGAGCAACAAGGCAAGAAAAAGAAAGAAAAGACATTCAATTGAAAAGGAAAAAGTAAAATTATCTCTGTTCACAGAGGACATGATCTTACTTGTAGAACACCCTAGAGTCTCCCCCAACCCCCATACACAAACAGTTATTAGAACTAATAAATGAATTCAACAAAGTTGCAGGATATAAAATCAACACACAAAAATCAGCTGCGTTTCTATACACTGACAAGAACAATCCAAAAAGGAAATTAGGCAATTCCAATCAAAATGGGATCAAAAAGAATAAAATGCTTGGGAATAAACCTAACGAAGGAGGTGAAAGACTCACACACTGAAAACTACAAAACACTACTGAGATTTAAAAAGACTCAAATAAATGGAAAGACATCCCACGTTAATGGACCAGGAGACTTAGGATTGTTAAGATGTCCATATTACCCGGTGTGATCTACAGAGTCAGCGTAATCTCTATCAAAACATCAAGAGCATTCTTTGCAGAAATGGAAAAATTCATCCTCAAGTTCATATGGAATTTCAAGGAACCCCAAAGAGCTAAAAACAACTTTGGAAAAGAAGAACAACATTGGAAGACTCATACTTGCTGATTTCAAAAGATATTACAAAACTATAATAATAAAAACAATGTTACTGATATAAAGACAGACAAGTAGACCACTGGAATAGACGGGCCTGAAATAAACTGTCACGTATATGTTCACCTGATCATCAACAAGGGAGCCAAGACCACCCTGGGGAAAGGACAATCTCTTGAACAAAGTTTTGGGGAAACTGGATATCTGCAAGCAGAAGAATAAAATTGGATCCTTACTTATACCATATACAAAAATAACTCAAAACAGATTAAAGACCTAAACATAAAACCTAACATTTAAAACTCCTCAAAAAAAAAAAACAAACATTGGGGGAAAACTTCATGATATTGGGATTGGCAGTGACTGCTTGAATATGATACCAAAAGCATGGGCAACAAAATCAAAACAGACAAATAGAATATGAAACTTAAAAACATTTTCACTTCAAGGGATACAATCAATACAGTTAAAAGTGAGTCTATGGGAGATAATACTTGCAAATCATATATCTGATAAGCAGTTAATATCCAGAATATATAAAGACCTACAACTCAAAAACAAACAAAAAAAAATCAAATACTATGACTAAAGTGGGCAAAAGACCTGAATAGACATTTCTCTAAAGATGCTATACAAATAGCTAACAAGCATATGAAAACATGCTCAACATGCTCAACGAGTCATCAGAGAAATTCGAATCAACACCCAAAGTAAGTTTTCATCTCACACTACTATCAGAAACAAACACAGATGATTAATTTAGGTGAGGATGCAGAGAAACTGGAATATTGTACTGCTGGTGGGGCTGTAAAGTGGTCCAGCTGCTATGGAAAGCTGTATAGAACTTCTTCAAAATGGGAAAAATAGAAACTACTATATGATCCAGCAATTCCATTTCTGGGTATATATCCAAAAGAAGAGAGAGCAGTGTCTCAAAGAGATATCTGCACACCCATGTTCAAGCAGCACTATTCATAACAGGCAAGGGGTGAAAGTAATCCAGGTGTCCACTGATGGATGAATCAATAAACAAAATGGGGTAGATACATGTAATGCAATATTATTCAGCCTTAGGAAGGAAGTCTTGTCAGATGCTACAATATGGATGTACAGGGAGGACATTATACCAAGTGATACAAAAGACAAATAGTGTATCATTCTGCTTATATGAGGTACCTAGAATAGTCAAATTCATAGAAACAGAATGTGAAGTGGGAGTTACTGGGAGCTGGGGGTGGGTAGGGGCATTGTTGTTTAATAGGTACAAAGTTTTAGATCTGCAAGATGAAAAAGCTCTGAAGAGCTCTTGTACATTGATGTGAATATACTTAATACCACTGAACTGTACACTTAAAAAATCACTAAGATGATAAATTTTATGTTATGTGTTTTTTAAAAATCACACACACAGAAGACAATTGAAAAAATAAAAAAAAAAAACCCTGAAGACTAATCCTTATCCAGTTAACTGCATTTGAATCCTATACTTACCTATAATAGATATAGCTACTTAATCCTCAGACAGTGGAAAAAATACTCTTATTAAGAGGTAGAAGACCTATTACAGCTTCTAGCTCCCAGTCTCCTAACTAGGTATTAGACGATATTAAAGAATTACTGTGAATTTCATCAGATACAATAGCATTATGGATACACTTGTTAAAAATTTATTCATACTGAAGTATTTTAGGGTGAAATCATATTTTCTAAGATTTGTCTTAATATGCGCCAGACAAAAACAAAGAGTGTGGGGCTGGGGTAGATGAGAAAGAACAGTGGAATAGTCACAAATGTTGAAGCTGGGTGACAGGCACATGGGAGCTCAGTTGCTGTATTCTCTACTTCATGAATACTTTCAAATTTTCCCAGTAAAATGCTTTAAAGAGAATAAACAAAATAAGAGGGGAAAGGATGGATGGATGTCTGGAATGAACAGCAGAAGGATAAATGTAAGGGGATTTTCTAACAATAGTATCATACTACACATGTTACTGTTACTTTTTAGAAAGTTTTTTGTTTAACTTGCATTTGACAGATTAAAAAAAAAAAACTAGAATGCAATTGAAAGCATTTTCAAGCTTCAAGTAAATGTATCTCACCACCTCCCCTGGCAATAAACAAATCAAAGACAGTAAATGAACGGGGGAATATAGGCGCCCGGGGGCCATGGAGAGCAAACCACACATGCCCCTCCATAGACCATATCTGAACAGAAATGGAGAAATTCCTGCTCGGAAAACTTCCACCATAAAATCAAGGAACACAAACCAAGCGTTGAGAAGGTGTTGCTGACTATTCCTTGGGCACAGAAGATGCACCTGCCCTGTTTCTGTTAAGACAGGAATCCGTCAACCAAGGACCCCAGAATAAGGATGACAGGGCACAGGACCAAAAAGTACTGGCACTCAAGCTGAGGAGAAGAGACAAAGATGCAAGATGAAAACAGGACTGAAGCACATAAATCCCATCCAGCTCAGGCGCTGTAAAGATCCCCAGTGAAGAAATCAGTGAAATAATACTTGTTGGAGCAGGAGAGACACACACCGCCTGTTGCACCATAAGGTGGAAGACAAATGGCAGAACTGACATAGACTGGGGGGATCCAAACAAGGGAGTCAGACAGCCAGGGGTCCCAGCTGGGGTCAGGCACGAGAGTGAGGGGGTTTGGGAGAGCGACTTTTCTGAGACGGGGAGAGGCGGGGAGCTTGAGTGATGCCACGGAGAAGGGAGTCAGAGAACTGGAGCTGAGCTGGGCGCTGCCCAGGACAAAGCACTTCCCCCTCCCACGACCCCACCGTCTGCAAAATGTGTTCAAAGGAAGGCTCGCCAGGGTCCTTTCCTTGCTTCTAGATAAGTTTTTCTCCAAACATACTCCTGACTGTAAGGGCGATTAAACACAAGGGGGTAAACAGTAAGGAAACCACTGAAATCTCCACTCAAAGATGCATTTTAAATTTGCCTGGAAGGTCGGCTGTCAACACATTGGCTGCCTGGAAACAAGGGAGGTGGTCTCCAGGATCCCCCCCGGTTCTACTGACCAAGAAGAGAAGCAAATGATACTTGCCTGGGGAAATGGAGAAATGCCCGGGCCAGGCTGAGTGTACACAGGGAAACAAAAGCAGGCAGAGAGGCAGAGGAAAGCAACGCCAGCAGCTGCCGCTCTGACAAGCCCCTGGGCATGGCACCCACTCCCATTCCCTAGGAGTGGGTGCTCCACAATTTCTCTGGACACCCGGGACCAACAGCACCACTGCAGGCCCCATGGGATGCTTTAAAATTAGCAACATCAAGTGCGTCCTTGTGACCGAGCCCTGGCAACTGTTGCAGCACGTGTTTTGTGTTTTTGTTTGCACCATGTTTTAATACCCTCCCCTCAAAACAATCTTGAGGTACACACAGTAATTATCCCCATTTTAGGGTGAGGGAAACTGAGGCTCAGTGACGTCAAGTTTGCCCAATGCTGCCTGACAAGTGAGCAGGAAGGTGAGGAGCGCCACCCCCGCTCCCCCCCGCCTGCCCCCGGGGCAGAGATCACAGAAAGATTCCCACTGAGGCCTTTTCTATCAGGATTTACTGCTAGCCCAGGGTCACAGGGTCCCCTGTCTCTGGCACAGAGGCCAGCCAGTGGGGTCAGGGCTGCTCCAGACATATTGACTCCTGACTCTTTTTCTGTGGATCCAGCACAGGGATGGCCTTCTGGTTCCATGACCAAAGCGCAAGGGTAACTCTGATGGGTTCAGCTGGAGAGGAAAGATAGCCCAGCATCCCAAAGCCAGGACCCCCAGGGAGGAAAGGCCCTGGCCACTCCCGATACAAGACTTAACCTCCGCATTGGGAGAGTGCAAACCCCCATTTCTTACCCCAACCTGGGGTGGAGCGTGTGATCTTCAGTTTCCTGGCTGTCCCTCCTGTGTAACAGTTGCCCTGCATTGAAACTGTCTAACCCCCTTCCAGGGCCGGCCCATGTAGTTATGATGAACTGAAATCAGCCTCAAGGAGAGCACTTGGAAAGGACATCAGGTTCCAGGCCCTTCTCGATACTGTTACTTGTGTTTGAATCCTGTTCTCACCTGTAAGGATTCAGGCAGTGGGAAGAACACTTCTGTTGGGAGGTGGAAACCTGGCTCTCAGCCCAGAATCTCCCACAACCCTTGCAATGTTGCCAGTGCCCTAACTTCCCTTTGCCTTCGTTTCTTCATCGCTCAGCAAGGGCAAGTTGCCTGTCCCTAATCACTCCATCCAAGTGTTGTAATACAAATGGAGTCAAGGTTGGCAAGCACCCTCTGAATTCTAGGCAGCAGCACCATGACCTTCATCTCGCAGTGCTCACATCCCTCCACTCCACCCCCAATCCCAAAGGTCCAGCAGCCAGTTAGAGAGCTTCAATCAGGGCCCAGAGGAACAGGAGGGACCCTGTATTCCAGACGGTTTGGATTACCTAGCCCCACTGCCCCTTCCCCAGAAAGCTCAGAATCACTGATTTCTGGAAACTGCTTAGGCTCGAAAGATTTTTAGAACACAAAGAGTCCCCTCCCTGTTCCACTTGCCAGAGGCATCGCTATTTAGCAACCCCTGTTTTCAAGATATCCTTGTGAGTTCTGCAGAGAAGGGCTTACTCCACATCATTTGGAAAATAGATGCCCATCCTTACACATGTTACTTGAGTGGCCTCACAAATGCGTATGAAAAAGCAGGTGGTCATCTGCAGAGTTAACCTCCCTGGACTTGCCAGGCAGCCTCAGCACAGATCACGGTGCCAGCCAGTCTTGTGACAAGTGTGGGTTGGCAGGGGTGGCTGGAAGGGGTAGATGGGCGGCCTGCCCTGCAGAGGGATGGGGACAGAGGACAAGGGCAACAAGGAGGCAGGCGCGTGGGGGGCAGGCAGGGATGGGGTCAGGGGGCGGGCCGCAGGATGAGCTGGGTAATTTCTGCCCTGCTGCCCAGACGCATGGGTATCCCATAATAGGCCGTGCCTGGGCTCACATATACAAATGTAGACTCAGCCACCTGGTAGAGACCAGCAAAGAAGGGGTTCAGGAGATAGGCTGCCACGTTCAAGGGGAAGATCTGCCCAGCATGCGTGTGCCCAGAAAGGATCAGATTAATATCTGGCCGGGCCTGGAGGGCTCTCTTGGCAGCCAGGGGCTGGTGAGCTAGCAGGATGGTGGGGTGGTCTGGGCTGCAGCCCTCCAGGGCCTTCTCCAGGTCCATGCCATGGCCAGTGTAGTGCAGGATGTTCGCTTCGATGTCATCCACCCCAGCCAGGCAGATCCAGTCGTCATCCTCACTGTGGGCCCCGGTGGCAGAAATCCTCACGTTCTCATTGTGGAGGGGCTGGACGTTCAGGGACATCAGCAGTGCAAACCAGTTGCTGACATCTGACGTGTAATACTCGTGATTGCCCGTGACGAAGTAGGTGCCCAGGCGTGAACGCAGCTGGCCCAGAGGAGCCACAGCCGTGCGCAGGACAGAGGCTTCGGAATCGCACAGGTCGCCCACGATCACCGTGACGTCTGGCTCCAGCGTGTTCACCATCCTCACAAACATGTCCATCTTTGTCCTGCCCACTGTGGGGCCCAGGTGGATGTCCGAGAGGAGCACGATCTTGAGGGCGTTCATGGAGGGGTGCAGCCGATGCATGGGCACCTCCACAGTGGTCACCGCTGGGGGCTGGGCAGCGTTCAACAGCCCCACCACGCTGAGCACCGTGGTCACCACCACCACCAGTGCCGGCCGGAGGGCAAGCTTCCTGGTCTTGTCAAGGCTGCCCACCGCCCTGCCGGCGCGCCAGGCCAGGAGCTGGTAGGCCTGCTCCATGCCGCTGAGGACACAGAGGAAGCAGAGCATGATGACATACGCCCCAAGGCAGGTGTAGGCAACCAGGGAAAAGAGATAGGGCTCCTCGGCCACTAGAAAGATCATGGTGAAGAAGCTGGAATGCGCCAGGGCCAGGAAGGCCGCAATGATCATCTTCCAGAGCTGGAAGCAGGCTGACTCTGCAGCCGGGGAATGCCTGAGATTGCTGACGGTGCTACGCCAGATGTAGATGGAACCGAGGAGCATGAGCGAGTTGGCAAACAGGGCTAGCTGCAGGCGGAACAGGCATCGCCAGGCCCTGAACTCCAGGCTCTCTGCCAGGTAGGACCGGGAGACAACCATGGACACGAAGACAGTGCCGGCAGCCAGGGCGGCCTTTGCGCCCAAGGACAACTGCCTGAAGATCGCCATTGCCTCTGCTCCTAAGCGGACACCCCGCCAGCTCTGTGTGGGCGAGCTCTGGAAGGTGAGTTCCTTAGATAGAACAATGGCCAAAGACAGGTTTCCAGGTCAGCTCCGCCTGCAACCAGGAACCGGCGTCAGCTTTGTGATATGAGAGCTTTCTTGTCCCCTGTCAAAACCCGAAGGCCACTTATATCTGCCCAACCAGCCTTGAATCCAAGCCACTCAAGTACCAGTCAGTTGCTAGACTTCATTAGTGAACTACAAACATACCCGATTGTAACAGGATGGGCAGTTTCACTCTCTTACAGTTTTCTGCATGTTTCAAGTATTTCCACAACATGTATATGAACTTTTATAGTAAGAAAAACATTATTCTAAATCAGCGGTTCTCAAAATGTGGTCCAGGGAGACCCTTTGGCTGTTGGCGTTGGGGGGAAAGGGGCGGGGGGTGTCCATTGACTGTTTTCAAAAACAGTACTAAGCCATAACCATTCTCTCATGAGTGTACAGTGAAGTTTCCAGAGGTTACATGACATGTGATATGGCAAAACTGAATGCAGAAGTAGCTACGAGCATTCAACAGTCATCTATTAAGACAGACATGAATGGATCCATGTATTATGTACGGCGGAGTCCCTTGGCTGTTCACCTAAAACTACCATAACATTGTTAATCGGCCATACCTCAATACAAAATAAAAAGTAAAGTTTGAAAAAAACAAAGTCTAATCTCTAAAAACAAAAAAGACATGAAAGAGATTTGCAAAAATGTACAATGTCACTTTGTGCCCTAAAAACTGGAGAGAACAACTTACTTTTAAAAAATATATATTGTTTATTAACATATAGTTTTAAATGGTCTAACTTCTAAGACAGTTACAGTTTGAGAACCGCTGTTCTAAAGTGTAAACCAGGAAGCCATGGAAAGCTAGTCTGCTGGTATTTTTTTTCAGCTGTAGGCCAAGGAGGGGAACTGAGGCAACTGACATAAAGATTCCTGGGGTGGAGCCAGCCTCCTGGTTGGTTCTCCTAGCTGGCTGGCTCCCAGACAAAAAAAAAAAACTGTGCAAGGGAACTACAGACCTGGATAGACAAAGGTTAGCAAATATTCATTTGAGGTGACCTTTCTTCCCAATAAGACTCAAAATGAAAATATTTTCAGCAGTTGTTTTCCAAGTAAGATTCTCAACCTTGCTTTTAGATAAATGTAGGCCTTTTTTTTCTTGTTTCTGCTCTAGGCACTTTATTAAAAAGCCTCTTATCAGAGGGTGTAATTTGCAAGTCAAGTTCACCAGCTTCTACTTAACAAAAAAGCCCCAGACTCAGCCCACCGGAACTCTGGAGGAACCAAAACTAGTTCCCAGAAAGTGTAGAGAGAAAGGCGCCCCGTTTCAAGTCCCCGCTCTCATCTCCCAGCTCAGATCTCCCCACCTCCACCTTTCCAAGGCCAGGATGCTGACCTGCAGAGGAGCGACCCCGAGTTCCCCCGGCCCCTACGTTAGCTCTGCCGGGGGGACTGAGGCTGTCCTCCCGCAATCGTGCACGAATCCCCCCTTCCCCGCCCCCTCCCCAGCACACACCTCGCCCGGCCAGACCTCCCTACAGCAACGCTGGCGGCCACCTGCAGCCTGCCCCTTGCCCACCGTCAAACGCTGAAGCTTTGAAAAACCCAAGCTTTAAAAGTAGGCGGAGGGAAGTGGCGACCAGGACAAGAGACGTCCTCAAAGAGAACACCCCGAAGGTAATTAATCCAATGTTCCCACTGCTGGGGCCTCTCCTGACCCCACTATTCTCCTTCCGGAGCGCACCGCAGAGCGCAGGCAAGAGAGACGCGCCAAGCCCGAGCCTCCGGCGCCCTCCAAGAAGGCGCGCTGCTCTGAATCCCACTCCCGGAAACCCGCAAAGCTGGAAAGCACCTCATCTCAGCCCTTGGTTGCACCGATAAGGAAGTGGCTCTCGGCGACAGAGGCGGCAGGAGCGGAACTCAGGAGCGACACAGCTGCTGGTAAGGACGCGCGCCCCGCCCCGCCCGCCCCCGACGGGAAGGCCGGCCCACTGCCTGAGCTTCCCCGGGAGCCGGGCGGGCCCGGGCGTGCCTCGGGGTCCCAGGACCTCCGCCCTGGGGGGCCCCAGGTGGCCGCAGCCCCAGCCCGGTTCCCCGCCAGCGTTCCCCCGATTCATCATTTGTGCGCGAGGGTCCTGTGGACTTACGTGCAGACCATGCGCAAAGCCCAGCAGCAGCGGCGCCAGCAGCAGGGCGAGGAGGCGAACGACCCCCGACATGTCCACTCTCGGGCCTCTCGGCTCCGCAGTCAGCCCGGGCAGCCAGTCGGCGTCACTTGACCGAGGACCGGGGCCTGGCCCCGCCCCGCGCCGGCTCCGCCCCGCCCCGCCGCCGCAGCCTCGGAGCCCGGAGCCCGGGCAGGCGAGAGCCTGGGGCCACACGCGGCCGCGTGACTCCAGGGCAGTGTTATCTGACCCCGGCCGGCCTCCGCCGGAGGGAGGAACCTTTTGCAATGATATTCAGGAGTACTCCTTGTCAGCAGCTTGATAACGCACCTCGGGTTTGGACCTTAACAAGGGTCTCCTTGCTTCCCGGCTCCCTGGACACGACAGAAACGGGCCAGATAGACTTAAGTGGACTAGATGGATCCTCAGCCCTTCATAGGGGCAGTCTGGAAAATATCCAGGGGTCTGCCAAGTGTGGTCCCTGAACCAGTCTTCTATCTGGTACGTGTTAGAATTGGAAAGAACAAGGCCTCGCCCAAGAAACCCTAGGGATAGGGTCCAGAAATCTATTTTTACAGCTCTCCAGGTCATTCTGACAGCACGCAAAGCTTGAGAACCATTATTCCAGGTTACTGATATATTAAAAGGTGTGGTTCAACTGTGGCAAAATCTTCAGGAATGCCTATCCTCAAGGCACCCGTGTCTGCGGAATTTTTATTTCAAGCTGGATTTTGAGAGATAAGAGTACCAACAGCTCCCATCTTTCAGTTTTGCTCTTAAGCCACTCAACATCCCTGTAATGCAAACAGATCTGTCAAGTAGAATAAAATATCTAGTATGATCTCTTTTTTACACTTGTGGAAAGGGAGACTCTACTGTGAGTTAACCAGTCCAGGACTGCTGGTTACCCCTAGATCTGAACCTGAAGCTGTCTTTTCCTACCTGGTTGCCAAAACTCTCTGCAAATCCCCCCTTTGCATTGCTGCACTTTAATCAAAACTGAGTCTCAGAGGAAGGCGCTTAGGGAAATCGCTTTCAAATGTATATATGTATATATATTTTCCAGCTTTATTGAGTTACGTTAACATTCTACTGTTGTGGAATCCGGAATCATGAAACACACCGCAAAAGACACAGGACAATGTGGAGTGCCATTCATTACTCCAGCAGGTCCAAGGGGAATCAGTTCCCAACAGGGACCTTGATGTTGCCCAGAGGCCCAGCTTTATAACCCGCCCCACCCCCACCCCCACCCCGTGAGTGGTTACATGTTAGCAACCTCTTTGTTGTGTATGACTGAGTTTTACACCAAGTAGGTGCTAGGAGAACAAACAATTAAGGTTAAAGGGGGGGAACAATGATTATACATCAATGGGGGATATCTCCATGGTTACTCTAACAGGGGCAGCCTGACGTCAACTACAGTCTCCGTTTGCCATCTGTAGGGAGGGAAGTCTCCAGGAGACCTGGTTTTCATTAGCAATGGTTTTCTCATTCTTGGGCAGGATTCAGGGCCAGTTTACATCCTGTCTTTAAGACGGATGACAGGCTTCAAGATGGAGTCTCTCCTGCTTTCCTCACACTGGCCCCAACACTACAAAATGCACTCCTGTTAAATATATTCACTTGCTGATGGTTTAGTCGATAAGTTGTGTCCGACTCTTTGTGACTGCAGGGACTATAGTCCACCAGGCTTCTCTGTCCTTGGGATTTCCCAGGCAAGGAACCTGGACTGGGTTGCCATTTTCCGCTCCAGGGAATCTTCCCCACCCAGGGATGGAGCCCAAATCTCCTACATTGCAGGCAGATTCTTTACCACTGAACCGCTGAGGTTAACAGTAACAGTATAGAGTTAGGGGATCCCCTGGTGGTCCCAGGATTCGATCCCTCTAAGATCCCACAAGCCAACACCAACCCCCCAAAAAATTACAGTTTATTGATAGACTCCTTGACTAAACTTTAACTAGGCTTCTCTGACTAGAGAGACTCTTCTAGACTCTTCTAGACCTGGATCTTGGCCTTCTGTGCCTGACCTGTCCTTGCCTGCCCCGAATTGTCCAGTCTTAGCAAATTAGCAAAAAAAAAAAAAAAATTCTTAGCAAAGAATCCTGCTAAATCAGTTTGGGAATAATCCCCCAATTCTTGTTATCTGATCAAGTTACTCATCCCCATCCCACCTCTCCTTGACATCTAACTCTTTGACCAACCCTTAGCAAGAATCCCTTGAGACCTCCTCTTACAATTTTCCACCCACAAGCCCCTAACTCTGCTGGTTATAAATCCCCAGCTCTCTTTGCTGTAGTTAGAATTGAGACCCATCCCTCTTCACCTGTGGTAGTAGAATTAAGCGTTATTACAAAAGTCTTGAAGAAAATCTTCCTTACCACTTTAGCAAGTATCCAATTTTTTTTCTTTAGCACTATTTTTTTTTTTTTACAAGTTGCAGACTTTTTTCAAACTTAGTCTGGTTTTTAACAATGAGAGTGATGGTTATCAAAGACAAGATTAGTGGTTATGAGACTTCTCCGGTGGTCCAGCGGCTAAGACTCTGAGCTTCCAATACAGGGGGCCAGGGTTCAATCCCTGGTCAGGGAACTAGCTCCCACAGCAGCACATGCTGCAACTAAGAGCTTGCATGCCACAACTAAGACCCGGCACAGCCAAGTAAATAAAGTAATAATAATAAAGTAATTATTAGTAATTACTTATGAGAGTGAGGGCCTGAAATGGGAAGGGCCCCCCAAATTTTGTTTCTTAAACTAGAGGGTTGTTACAGGAGTACCTGCCACTTAGTCATTCATGTTTTGTGTCACTTCCTGTATCTTTTTTTTTTTTTACCTCGCCTCACAGCATGTGGGATCTTAGTTCCCCAATGAGGGACTGAAA